AGGAAGGAAGGAAGGAAGGAAGGAAGGAAGGAAGGAAGGAAGGAAGGAAGGAAGGGATATGCAATGGTGAAACACCATTGACTAAGCTTTTTGTAAGTGAACTCAGCTTTTAGTGAAAAAGATTCATACTTTAGTCATATTGCTGTTGTTTCAGACATGAAAGTATCAACCATTAAAAAAGGAAACACAAAAGACTTTATATTTTTTCCCTAATAAATTAAATGATATAACTAAGAAATATTATAGAAAGTTACCACATTTGTTTCTAATGGCCATGTCTATCCTGACCCCCTGAGGTTAAACACAACCCTGATGTGGCCCTCAGTGAACTCAGTTTTGACACCCCTGGCAGAATGTGTGTAATGCAAGGATCATGGGATATCATCCAACTTACTTTAGGTTCAGCAGACTTAAAAAAGAAACTACACTAGCTGTCCCATTAGTAGATATATGTGGTATGAAAAGAACTTGATGCACTTCATGACATGGTGATGATGAAGATGCAAAATGCACATATAGGCCACATGTGAAGACCTACTCTTTTGAGGAACAAGCATTCTTTGGTGCAAAGATTCTACTTTAAGAAAAGACATACTTGGAAAATTCCACATACAAGTCCTATTAGGGGAATAATGTGCTGACTGCATAATTTTTCTGAAAGGAGTAAAGTTGGGGAGGGGACATGGAGATAGCAGCAGAACAAGGAACAGTAGGAAATACCGCAGGCATGACAGAATGGGGCCAGTAATACCAGGATCTGCTGGTAGCTTAGCAAAAAAGAACACTTATATAGGAAATAAGAGCTGACAGTTCAGATATCACTATAGAAAACTGTTGACATGACCACCGTAAGATAAATCAGCTTTTGTGATGCTTGGCTTGCTACAGTCAAGTCAAAAGATAAAAGGAAGGGGGAGGTGGGAGAACCTGAACTTAAATCTGCTACTGCACAGAATAACTGCATAGAGAAACTTGTTCTGTACGTGAAAAAGAACAGAGATGCATCATAGGAAGTTCTTCCAGATTGCTCCACATAACTCCAAAATACAGGCCTTCTTCCTAAGAGTAGCCGGTGAAGAGTTCCAAAATGTAAATTACACATAAGCATAGCCTCTTTTAAAGGTCAGAAATCTAAAGCAGTGTTTCACAACCTTAGCAACTTTAAGATATCTGGACAATTCCCAGAATTCAGACATCTTAAAATAGCCAATGTTGAAAAACACTGGTCCAAAGTAAGCCTATGGCCTGCCACTTGGATCAGGACTATTGTGTGCTAGGAGAGGAGTTTTACATCTTTCCCCAGATGTTTGTTTTCCAAATACTTTGCCCCTGCCCTTTCCACAGATTGGCTTCAAATGTAATATTGAGCCACATATTCATTTTATCTTGATATATTGCTTGAACCCAACCAAATGGCATTGATTCAGAAAACTGAATTCAATGGTTCTTCCTTAACCCAACTGTCAGTTCTTCTTGTTTATGTATTTGTGCTGCTGCAAAGTAGAACTGGAAGAACTGTAGAACAGCTCTAAACCTATGTATAAACGATGGCGCCAGAGTGGCTGGTGGGGCCATGGGGAGCAGTTGTAAGGTGACATGAATATATATTTCTCTTCACTCATATTTGATTCTTGGAGTCTACTTGAACAAATCCCTGCAGTTTTCTTGTCAAGCAAGGCTTTTCAGAAGTGGTTTGCCACTGCCTTCTTCCAAGGGCTTAGAAAGAGAGAGATTAACTCAAGGTCACCTAGCTGGCTTTGTGCTTGAGGTGGGACTAGAACTCCCAGTCTCCCAGTTTCTAGCCTGATGCCTTATCTACTGCACAAAACTGGCTCTTAATTATATATTATCTATATGCATATAACATATAATTACATTATACAAGTTAATATACTTACATATATAATAAAACAGCAAAGAATCATAGAGGGGAGAGGAAATTATTAGTTGAATGGGAATGGGAAGCAATTACCTGGAACAATATTCTCTCATCTACCAGGCTAGACGCTGCAACTCTCTCTGGATTCTTTGATCAATTTATCACCTTTGCTGTCAGATAAGCACCGCTTTATCCAAGAGAGTTTAGTTCGCTTTTTAAAGGGGGTATTTTATATTGTGGCAGTATACAAATGCTGTTAAATGAGTAAACGATAATCCTTGGTTTATAATGAGTCTGCAAAACATTTAATAAGTGCTTCAGAAAACACTTCAAAGGCACTATGAGAATATACTGTATATTAAGGGGAAAGGTAAGGTTTCAGTTTCGCCTGAAGCAAAATTGCCATGAAGGTATTTTGTCAGCCTTTCGAGTCAGGGAATGCAAGTACTAGTTGAACTCTACTTTATTGTTGAAGGATATAATAACAGAACCTTGAAAACTTGCTAATGTACCCCTCTGCCCCCTCTTATAGAAATGAGAAACAATATGGAGTTATCTTGAATTTTTTTCTAATTCTGTTCTTCACTCCCAAAAATGAATTTATTTACTAGTTCATGCATTCTGTCATGGACCAAGACTCACTCTGAAGAAGTTGCTCCACTGAACCTGTAGAATGTAGGCCTCAGGAGACACCTAGCCAGGAATTACTTGAGGCTGATCATACACAGCCACCATCAGAACATCTGGAGCATTAAGGTGATGAGCCACAGTCTCAAAATCTTGGACTCTGTGAGCAGAGCAAGTGAAGCTCCTTGCTAGGCAAGGCAGTAATTGTCTTAATTCAAAGCTGGCTGCGGCTGATTGAAGAGGCAGGCTCTTCTTTCTCTTGGAAGCAACTGTCTGATCCCTACTTTGATAGTCATTCCTATATACTTTGCTCATGTAAAAAAACACACAAAATTGTGATATTTGGACTAGCTGATAAACCTAGCTTGACTTCCTGAACTTTGGACTGGGTTTTGACTTCTCTTCTGTGCTTTCCTGTTGAAAGTGAAACCAAAACTTTTTTTCCCCAAGAGAATATATTTTAATTTATATTCTTTTCCTCTTCTGTCATTTATTAATCAGCCCTGAACGAATTACTATTATTAAATATAAATGGTGGCTGTGAGACACAAACCAGCACAGATATCCAGATCCAGAGTATCTTCCAGGTTTACTAATGTAATGGGAGATTTCAGTTGGTAAAATGAAAGACATGATATTGGTAATATTGTATTCCACTATTTGAATACAGGCATCATGCCGTATCATCAGACATGATTTTTATACAGTGGCAGTATTGTAATCAGTGAGGTTTATCCAAGGCATGTTTATTGCTAATTGAAAACTTTTCTGTCAGGCCTAGCCAAGAACAACAACACAATCCAGTCAAAGTTCAGGGTTGTTTTTTAAAAAAAATTGTTTACACCATATTGACAGAAACTTGCCAAGCTAAACCTATACCACTCTAAGCTAATGGATATACCCTGTAAGATTCTAGGAAGGACTGTCCTACATCTCTTCCCGTTCTCATGATCCAGCTCCAGACTTTGTTGTCTCTTTCTTGCCTCTCTCCTTTGAACGTGCTCCCTCCTTTCTGGGAACATTTTGTATTAACCGTAGACCACGGGTGTCAATCTCGCAGTATCACATTGCCGCCATGTGATGTATTGCAACGTTTTTCTCCCTTTGTGGAGCCAGAGTGGGCTTGGCCTGCACGTGATACATCCAGCCCATGGGCTGCCAGTTTGACATCCCTGCCGTATTCCATCACATCACCTCCCCATTCACAGATACATTCCATCACATCTTCCTCATATTGTGTCTTGAGTAACTGAAATTATCTTTTAACAATAGGATAACCATTTGTGGAGCACTGGGTGACTATTCATGGCAGCAAAAAGATAAAAGTATTGCAGGATCCAATCTGGGTCAGTCACTGGGACCAGAAGTTTTGTCATCCTCGGGGAACTTCTCTATGTTCCCACAGAGAAGTTGTGGGAACTTCTTCAGAGAATACACAGAAAGGTTCCCTGAGGCTGGGCTTCCAGCATGAATCTGAAAGCTCAGAAGACAAAACCTCTGGTTCCAGTGAATGACCCAGATTGCATCCTGCAACATTATCCTGGGTATATTCATGCTTGATAAAGTATTCTGTATTTCTTTGCTTCCATCTAATGGCAATATTGACTTCTGCAATCAACAGCTGGCAGTTCCAAAAGCCAATTCTTTCAGAATGACTTGGAAATCACTGTGACCTTTCATAGGTTGCAAAAAATCAGAGTCTACAATTTTGCTATAAATAATTACTGGTGCACAATTAAGAATTTATTACCCTTACCCCACCATCCCCCCAAATCTGAAGAAGTGCTGCTAATTTCGTTGTTTTTTTCCTTCCACAAAAAATAAAATTATTCAAGGTAAAAACTTTTTAGTTTTAAATTGTGCCAAACATTCAATCATGTATTTTTTCTCCCTCATTTTTCTTAATCTTTTTTTTTTTGAATAGGTGTTTATCATTAATCACTGCAGGTGGTGGAACAAGACAGTGATTGGTTAAATACAATTTGCAGGTGGTCCTTGCCTTTGGCCATTATTTGCTGTTTACAGAATAACAGAGAAGGTTATATTAACTGTCCAAGCTATCCACTCAACTGTCAGCATGCTGGATGGAAAAATCAATAAAAAAGGGCAGCAAGAGGCAGAAAGAAAGGAAAGGGGAAGAAATTACAGGCTGCATGAGGTAATCTACCTAGGTAAGACAGGCAAAAGGAAGAAACACCACAGAGCTGGTCCTCAAAGGCAATTTCCCTCAAAATCTCAATTGAGAATTGCTTCTGCTTGCAGAAACTATAAGTAAATCAATTTCTACCTTTACTTCTATTGCTAGTTCCATCCCAAACTCTAATACCGGTTGAATGGAAATTGCAAAGGGAAGTAGAAAAAAAATTGCTATTATGCCTTTCAGCTTCCCTAAAAGAAAGTCTAAGTGAGTAGTGAAATCCCTCCATTTGCCCCTCTTCCTAAATCATTTCATGTATCCCTAAGTGACAAGATAATTTGAAAGCAGGATTGGTGGAAGATGTTTTTATAGGGTGACTCAACTGAATGTAAGGCTAAGCCTCTCACAGGCCAAACAGCTATTTCAGTTTTTGAACAGTTAGTTACATCAATAAAAATCTAGAGAGACTCACTGAAAAGTAATTTTGGAGATTCTGCTTATAAGCCTACTGAAAGACTCTCTTCCTATTCCCCAGTCATTTGTTTCAGCAAAAGCAATTCCATCTGCTTTTTTAAAAAAATGGGTTAATAGGCAGGGGTGGGATCCAACTGGTGTTACTACCGGTTCGATGATTTTACATTTTGTGCTGCGTGTGCATGTATATCATCGTCATCTAGCTGCCTGGACAGCCGAGCAGCGCTGCACGCGTGTGCACAGCAGTTGAAAAAGCACTTTTTTCCTGCTTTTTCAACCGCAGCTGTGTCGCGCAAAGCAGCTGCGGTTGAAAACACAGGAAATAAAGGTCAGGTAAGAGCCCGGGCGGGCGGGTGGGCCAAAACAGCAGCAGACATAAAACCAGTTCTATGCTGGGGTGGGATTCTACCAGTTCGCACCTATTTGCTAGAACTGGTTGTTAACATTCTAAGCAGTTCGGAGAACCGGTTGTTATAAGAAATTACTGGCCTAATCCTGTAAGGAAGGCAGGAAGGAAACATTCTGGTGTTGCTTAGAGAAACTGCCTCTCTGTTAACCCTTATTACATTCTTGGCAGGACTAGACTTCCTGTCTCAGGAACTTCTCTGGAGTATTTTTCCCCTCCTTTGCTGGTACTTTGCTTGTGTGGAGTGACCATTTAAAGTTACAATGGTACTGAAAAAAGTGACATGACCATTTTTCACTCTTAAGACTGTTGCAGCATCCCCAGTCATGAGAGGCCAGACAAGGAGATGCATGCCTCGATGTGAGTGATATTGAGTTGGCCACACCCAGCCAATAACATGACCACCAAGCCATGTCCACCTAGTCACATGACCATCAAGCCACGCCTACCACCTAAGCCCTTCCCACAGAACCGGTTGTTAAAAATTTTGAATCCCACCCCTGGTTCTATGTATGCTCTCTGTTTGCTGCTTTTCAGAGCAACCAGTTCTACAGAAGTGGACAGAACCGGTAGAATCCCACCCCTGTTAATAAGGTATAAAAATAGTAAGTACAGCATATGTAATTTAATTTTTTCTCTCAATTTAACTGTATTTGCTCGTCTTTAAACAACTTTTTCAACTTTTTAAAAAAGTTTTAAAAGTTTTTAAATTATAAAGGACCACCCTTATAATAACGGACATCTACTTCCCTCTTTGAGAAAGGATCTAATACCATCTCTGAGAATGTTAATGCACTTCAAGGAGATTTTGGAAAAACTTCCACAAGAGGTCCATGAGCTGTTTAGCTCATATACCAGCTGCCTTATGCTAACTCCGACTATTTAGCTAGTAGGGTAGGAATGGGAAAACTATAAGGCCAAGGATGCAAGTGCTTTCTGAGAGGTGCATCAGGGGCCACTTTCCACAAAATAAAATCTGGCCAAGAAGAAAAGGAATTGCATTTGAGTATCATTTTTATTTAAAGATACTCAAAAAAAAAAACATACTGACTTCAATACATATATTTTCCTGGGATTTCTGTATGCAACTTTGACTTACAGTATTTTTGTATATAAGGACAGCATTGTGGGGGTGGAGCATGGAATTTGAAGGATGGCTCTATTAAAATGTACATAATAGTTTGGAAAATGAAAAAGTAACCAAAACAAAATTCTGTATACATTCTTAATTTGAATTAATTAAGGTGTCACAGACTAATCTAAGATAATTCAAGGCAACAAAACTTATCTCTGTGTGTTTGTGTGTGTGTGTATGATCAGATTGTGGTGTTTAAGGCAAGAGTCAATGGTTATATAGTGACAGTGCTAAAGTTATAGGCCAAATTTTTATTTATTTATTTAAATTATATGCCACCCATCTCACCATAGGTGACTGTAGGCAACTTGCAATCAAAGACAATCATTATGCAAACAATTTGGTTCATGTTCAATACACATCACACCAAGCATCCCTTTATATGTAAGAATGGGAGGGATAAACGGCAGATTTAAATTATTTTCAGATGTATAAGTCAATTATATCTTCTTACTGGCAGTGGGCAATGATGTGTGTGTGACTTCATCTTTTTCTACAGTAAAGTTTCTGATCTAGGCACGCCATGCCTGGCAGCCTTCTGCCAAGTTCCATCAAGATGAGCTATGCTATGATGTGTCAGAAGGTCTGTTATTTATTGTTGAGTCCTGATTAGGAGGCCTAATGCAGACATGCCAAGAATTTTAACAATTATAACTGTTAATGTAACAGGAAGGGGAAATTATGAGTGGAAAATAACAACATTAACTAGTATCATCAACTAAATTTAATTGGAATTTACTATAACTGTAAATTATTTCATTTATATTGATAAACAATAGAAAGAACTGTAATATAATTTTTCACAATATATTCACAAATATATATTTGAAAGTGCTGTGCTGACTTGAAGGATCTACATATCTTATCTTTTCAAAACCTACTTTGAAAACACCCAGAATGTCACTGAAATAGCAAAAATTAAAATATGCAATACATACTACGTATATAGAGTATGTAGAATACTCTACTTACACAATTGCATAGAAAGTTAGGCGCAACATCATGTGTTATAAATCCCTTTAGACTTACCTGAAACTTTCCAGTGAGCATTAAAAATAAATTTTGACAAAGAAGAGAGGATGTACTAGTGAGCTATATGAAAAAAAAGTTGTATTTTATCTACAGTTAAGGATAATGTTATATACATATACATACACACACACACACACACACACACACACATATATGTGTGTATGTATGTATGTGTGTGTGTGTATATATATATATGTATATAACATTATCCTTAACTGTAGATAAAATACAACTTTTTTTTCATATAGCTCACTAGTTAGATAGCTGGAGAATTGACCTTTGAATTGGATTAATAAACATATTTAGCTAATAGAGATTCTGCAATATTTACCCATGTTTATCAGTGCAACCATTTACAAGTTTATTTTACTTAGGTGAAACATGCATCTTAATCACTGAAAATTTCTAATAACAGCTTCCATGTCAATAGGTCTTTTTGATATCTTTCCATCCCTTAACATAGCTGTCTGAAATAACATACATTTCATGCTAAACGGTATACACCCCAAGTATTTTACTGTCTTCTTAATGTTGAAACCAGTCCTTTTCTTCACAATGTCTTGGTCTTTTGTGCTACTATTCTTTAACCACCAACTTTGTTTTTTGTTTGTTTACTTGAAAGCTGGCTAATATACCAAAGTCAATTTCTTCATTAA